TTTTTTTTTTTTCGGTTTCCGTTGTATTCTGTCATATCAAGAAGACGATCGCGACTTGTCGAGCAATCCAATTGGTCTGTACCACTTTAATTCGTCCATGTTAATCTGTACCTCTTTTGTTCTTAGGGCTGAGGCATTGTTTGTGTTCTTTATCTACTGTTTCGTTTATCCAATCATGAAGAACCTTGCAAACGGTGCTGGTTAATCGGGCATATTTCAGTAAACCACTTGAGCTGTACGAACCACCTTAAACATAACTATCTTCGTTTACTCTTGTTGGAGCTAACCAGATGAAGAAACAATGTTCGTGATTTGATCCCAGCAACATAAATTACAGTGAACGAATCCTTCGGCTGTGTTTTATTTCGACAAAAACAAAGTATACTGAGCGATTTACTTACATCTCATCTGAACACATGTCTGGTTTATCCATGCGATATCCTGTCTTAAGAAGTCTGTACAGTTGCTTGTTGCTTACCCCAGGATATGGAATATCGCCTAGAACAACAGATATAGTTCATGAATTGTAACAACATAATCCATCTCCCCCTCCTCAGTTAAAGATGGCAAACTTCGTTTCCAGAACTCTTTTTTTTCCTTTCCCTTTCACGCCTAAGCATGGAAAGAATCCGTCGGAAGGGGTTTGAGAGTCGTGTAGGTATGTGGACAAAGAAACACGGGTCTTCTGTACTACATAGTTGATCCCTTTGCTTACTGTACAGTCGGACATCAGTTACTGATTATCATGGTCAGACAATCCATGTGAACGGTAATCCAGGAACACATGATATGAGTTTCTGTGGTCCTACTCTCTCTTCCCCCTCTCCCCACCTCATAAGAAGGCCCTCCTCCCTCCTTCCCTCTCACCCCCCCTTAGGAAGACCTGATACTCAAGCTAGAATTGTCTTTGATTTTGACCACTCTACATAAATCATTTTCAGTTCATTTTCAAAGACATTCATCAAAATCATGCTAGCTCGGCCTCAATCTTACCCATTGTGGCCAGTTCCCACAGGAGTACTCCGAAAGACCATCTAGAATAAACAGACATTATTTTATCATCAATGCTTTACATTCGTCGTTTTTATGAGTTAATAGTTTAGCCTGGGATGGCTTAGGAGAGTGCTACAATAACTTTTCCTTGATACACTTTCTTCTTGTCCTGAATAGAAAACCAACAGATAATAATATGATACAGGATTATCAAATCTCCTAAACATTTGCAGTAAAACCTAGGTAGAAACAAACCTTTGAAAAGCTAAAACGTTCCGGCGAACAGTTATATAAAGCTGAGGACAAGTTATTTGATGTTAATTTAGCTACTTCTATTTTACCATTATTTTTTTTTCATGTGTACTACCAGTAAATTAGCTGGTTAGTAAGTCTGAACTGTGGCGGCTCACTCATAGCTAATTAAGGTTCATTGACACCATAAGCCTGTCTCCTATTTATGGAAAGATTTGAGGAGGTTTATATACTTTACATACGTACACGTCACTTTTTGAAGTGTATAAACCGTTGCTAAGCGCCTCAGGTGCTGTCCATTTGATTGGCAGTTTTTTCGTGTACTTTATCTTGTATATTTCATCATGAGTGTGGCGTAGCAGACCAAAATCAGCGATCTTCACCGCTCTGCCCTCACCAAGAAGAACATTACGAGCTGCCAGATCACGATGAACAAATCCTTTACTGGACAAGTATTCCTATGATAAATACAAAGCAAAGAGAAATTGAAGGACATTTAAGCAAGGGAGTTAGTAGAACCTTTCATTTGTAACATAGAAAAATGGGGCATCTCCAACAACACCCAATTATGATCCGAACCACATACATACCTGCTGCAGTGGTCACATCTAGTAATTAAAGAGAGCATGACCCGGCTACAAGTTGACGGTTAGTCGCGCACCCTAAGATGTTTCCTAAGAAAGGTCCCACTGTATCAACCAGTAGATGTCTCTTAGAAAGAAACATTTTGTTTTAGATTTTCAGGTGAATTCCGGTTTCTACTTACCATTCCTTGAGCTATCTGCCACGCCAAGCAAAGAAGGTCCTTTGCAGAAAGGTCATCTTCATCGTTATTGTTATTCTGGGACGGGATGTTAATCTTCATGCGTGCATTTTCCACGTTGCATGAACTCGCACATTTACTATTGTTCTCTTCCATCTTTTCGTTAGCCTCTGATGGAGGGGCTTCCTCTCTTTGCGTGACATGATCATGTTCGGTCATGGGCAGCGCCTGTGATGGCACACTTTGGAAGCTTTCATCGACCACTTTTGTCAATCCTTGATAAGTTCCTTCAAAAGTCGACGGTTTTGTTTGGTACTGGACGTGTTCCTGAGATGAAATAAGCTGGTATGAAAACATGAAAAGGACACTTCCGTTCGTTTTCTGCTAAGTATAAGTTTAAAACAAGATTAGCTACTTGCACTACTGTTCAATTCAATTCGCTTGTAGTCTAATCTGGTATTGGAGGCGCGGTGGCCTCATGGGTTAGAGCCCTGACCGGGGACATTGTGTTGTGTTCATGAGCAAGACACGTTACTCTCACAGTGCCTCTCTCCACCCATGTGTATAAGTGGGAACCGGCAAATTTAATGCTGGGGGTAACCCTGCGATGGACTAACATCCCATCCAGGGTGAGTAGAAACATTCCTAGTCGGTTCATGCTTCAGAAACCGGGATAAGCTCCGGCCTGATGAGCCTCTTGGCTCATATACAGGCTTACCTTTTTACCTAATCTGGTATTAATAATGAATGGCCACAGATCAGCAAATCCGGCATTTTTAAAATAATACAAGAATGCTGTGCAGAAACGTAAGTCAATACCTTAAGACAGCGAAAACGGAACTCGCGAAACGCTGACGTCATTTGCATCACGTGATCACGCGGAAAGGGCACTCACGATGTTCCTCTTATAGCGTATAACCGTTTTCAAGATTTTTGAGTAGAAATTCTGCGGAATTCGGGTAGAGTTTGAAAACATCAATATCACAAAAGATAAGTTAGTGTAAAAGACTCTTCATTACTAATCTTTTTTTTAGCACGTTTTAATCAACCAATCAAGCGCGCTTAGCTTGGAGCGAGTCACTATATCGACAGTTTTCGTACAAAGTAGACTTATAAAATAAGAGCTTTTGCTACAATTTTGTAGTTTCTAACCTGTCGTTTCTTTCTAAGCCATTGAAGGAGATCCCCGTGTGGAACATATTCCAAGATCAGCAGGATGGGTTCAGATCTGACCCAGTAGCCGAGCATGCTCAGAACATTTCGGTGAAAACCAATTTGCTTCATGAGATCAATTTCCTGTAAAAACTGCTGTTTGCCCTCCTCACCCGCTGCTTCTGATAGAAATCGAAACAACAATCAAGTAAATCAACTGACAAACGCATTACAAAAGATATCATATGGATAAAAAGGGTGGAATTAAAATGCGAAAAGTCCAAAACAAGGACATTAAGGGTGCTGTCTTTGGTTTAAAGCTATTTTTGGAAAATTAGACCACTAATTATAATTTCTGATCAGCTACCATACTGGAGCTCTCCCAAACATCTGTAAGGTGGCTAGACGCGCATAACATCAATTTATTTATATATTATGTCTTTGCTCACCAAGTAACACTTTGACAGCAACAACTCTTTCCTCTTTGACCTCCACTCTTTCCTCTCTGGGCTTGAAAAATACTTCAGCGCTTGGAAATTCCCTGAAGACTCCTTTGTAAACCTTGCCAAAAGCCCCTCTACCCAGCTCCTCCATAAATGTTACCCGCTCCGGAATAACCTCCCATTGCAGTAAGGGAACGATGTCAGACTTGGACCTAGACAAAATAAAATAAATAATATTGAAATGATTATCATTTCCTTGTGACTTTCGTAAGCTGGCCATAGTTCTTCACCAGATATATGTGTAGAGGCTTTGCTTGCTAACAGTTTATTTTAACACTGTTAACATTGAATTAATTACTAGACGTGACCACTGCAGCGGTGATGTATGTGGTTCGGATCGTAATTGGGTATTGTGGGAGATTTCCCGTTCATAGATTCCCGTTGTTAATTACAATAAGCGAGGAAAGTGAGTATACACAAATATGAAAAGTCGCCAGTGCTAAATGTACCTTTACAACATACGAGACAGCCTTTATATATTCTTATGCTGATTAATCTCACGAGGAATCACTCGAGGAATTAAATACATTACAACTCCCCATATGTTAACCAATTACATTTCTATAGTTGAGGTACAACATAAAAACTTAAAAAAATAAAACCTTTTTGCCATGACAGCATGAAGTTGTTTCTGTTTCCATTTCTTTCTGAGGCACGCTGCAATCCCCATTGTTACCATGGCAACAACGGCGACACTTCCTGCGATTATTCCAGCTCTGAAAACGATTGTATTCTGATCGGCTGAAATGGTGAAACATCAAAATTTTAAAAATCCGGCGAGTATCATAGTTACCCTGATCGTCCCTTCACTTTTTTTGCAGCTACCCTAACACTCTCACGTTTTAAGCGAGGAAGTCGGGTTATTTCATATGGCTATCAATCAATCAATCAATCAATCAATCAATCAATCAATCAATCAATCAATCAATCAATCAATTAATCAATCAATCAGTCATTCAGTTATTCAATAATTCCTCTGTTTTCATCCATACTCCACCACCATCCCCTCCCCGCTTCTCTCAACCACCCCATTTACGACATTGATAAGAGTACATTTCTACACATATCTGGAATTCTTCCTTCTGTCTAAAAAAGTACTGATTAATAACATAAATGAAGTGGTTGATATGAAAGCCTCAGAACTCAAGCAAAGAAGAAAGCTCTCGGCTTACATGTACTCTTTCCACTGCATTCTTTTGGGAAAAACAAGGACAGAAAAAGAGCCCCCCCAAAAAATACTTAAAACATACCTACCTTTTACGTCTGACTTTGTTTTAACTCGCCAAGAGTTTGACATGTTACTTTCACCAAGTTCATTGGCAACAGTCATTTGAATTTCGTACTGTGTGCCACAATCAAGTTGGACAAGATGAAATGTGTTTGTAATATTGGTAACTCTGATTTGCATCCAGTCAGCTTCATGACCGAGTGAAGGCACTTTTCTGTAGTGTATTATGTACATCGATAGAGGACATTTAATATTCCTTGGAGGACTCCATGTGGTGTTCACCTTGCAGCTATTTATTTCCTTTTCTTTGTTGTTAATTACGGGAGGTGGCAGTTGGCCTTAAAATATGAAAAATAAATACTAAACCGAGTTCTCGTGGTTTGCTTTCGCGCCATGCACAACTTAACGGACTAAGCGAAAGAGGGACTACTCGTAGTCTAAAACGCCCTGAAAGAATCAGACAGTTATTGCCCATTCCAATTCGTCACTTCAGAAGAAATCTGGGGCGAGTCTCATCTCGCAGTCGCTTGCGGGACCGTTACTGTATTGGGACAAAAACAGACAAAACAAAAGATGAGAAGTCATGAGAAGTCATTCTGTCACCAGTAACGGTCCCACGAGGGACTGCGAAAAGAAACTCGCCGTAGATTTCTTATCATCGTTTTATAATGTGGCTAATTGGCAAGCGCAAGCTGGAGCAGAAACTATACATATAATTTCATCTCTCTTGGTGGCTATCTCTGATTGTGCTGTGATGTTATTTCGTAGTCTAATTTAAACTATGTGATACGTCAAATTATCCTCTCATTTTGATTGGTTTTTACTTATGATCTGATGGAGGACAGACGTATAGTCGGATGACGTCATTAACATTTTTTTCATGTTGCCGTGGAATCGATTTGTTAAACAGTAACCAACGCAGAAATGCAAGTTGCAAAATTCAGTATAAGTAGTTTATGAAATAAAGGAAAGGAAAAGAATAAACAAACTGAATAGAGCTTTAGCCATCTTTATGTAATTTCAAACATACCAATTGTAGCTAATGGTGTAACTAATCAGGTCGCGTGTGCTGTAATTTCAGAGTAAATAAATATCAGTGGGAGTCATTTGTTGGTTAAATTAATGTTTGCATTCATTTGCTTTATTACTTCTATATTTTCCGTGCACACGTTTGTCCCAGAATCAAGTCTAGTCTCAAGATTATTAAAGTAATCATTAGACCGATACAAAAGAAAATAAAGGGACTTGATCGATATAATCATTACTGACATGTTTAAGCATAACGACATTAGCTTATGCATGGTCTTGTAAGCTGTTAAGCTTAAAATTAGAAGCATATTGATTAAAATTTATACCTATTCCGGTCTTGACCTTCCATAGTTTACTGGGAAGCCGTGCATTAGCGTACCAAGTGGAAACTGCTAACTGGTATTCCTTGAAGCATTCTAACTGAACATTGTAGTGAGTTGCATCCTGCGACACATTGACTGTATTCCACTTTCCCCTACTTGTTCTGGTTACTTCTCTGTAAAAAATAACGTTCTTCGAATTTACAACCGAGCAAGATGGCTGCTCCCACGTGACCCGAACAGTGCTTCCACTTACTTCGTCTGTATGGTTTATGATCCGCGGGATATCTGTACGGTGGAAAAATCGTTGAAAGAGCTACTGAATAAATCAAAACGAAGTACTCGTATCCGGCCAAATTCAAGGTAAGGACATACAATTCCCCCCGTGGGGGGTACTCTATAAAGTTCTATATAGGAAGCCTCCACCCCGAGGTCCTACCACTTTTGTATACCATTTTGACAGAAAAGATAACCCTTTCGTATACCTTTAATTGAAAAAAGGTACCCCTTCACATACTTTCATAACTGGTCCGTATTATGAATAAATAGCAAAAAAGGAAGTCTTCTTGTCACTTTCATGCAGTGCTTAATAAATTAAATGATACACCATGAGGTGCGTCTGTTCGAAAAATTTTAATCAAAGGCCCTTTAAAATAACTAAAAGACGAACTTCCCTATACCCCTTCATATATCTCAACTTGTGAAATCACTTCCGTTTTATATACCTCAGTGAAGCCTGGAAAAGGTACCCCTTACGGCCGGAGCTTCCCTGTATAGACTATTATAGGGAGTACCCCCCGGATACAATCAGCAGACGCCAAGAGCTTGGCTACGCATGTTGTTGCAGTCAGCTAGAATTTGTTTTAAACATAAAGAAGTCAAGCAATCTTACCGCAGTATAAGTCGGAGATTTCAGCAGAAGACAAAGTAACTCCAATGACATGGAGATCCATAACTGACCCATAGAACTTCCTACTGCTGAAGAATTCTTTCCGAGGATCTTTTCCAATATAATACGACTTCAACTCTTCAGAAGACATATCAGTTGAAAAGTCATCGGTTATTGGGAAAGGTATGTTC